AGAGCTCCCAGCACAGCACTGCTCAGCAGCAGGCAGGGCTGGAGGCTTTTGTCTCCACGGGAGTCCCAGGCAGCTGACAAACAGAGCTCTCACTCACTACCTAAGGCTGTGGGAGGGCTGTGACTTGCCCCCCTTCTTCTAGTAAAGGCTACATTACCAAGAAGCATCCTTGAATGGCCGCTTTCCTTTCTACCCTGCCTCCCTGAGGCCTCCAGTGCTTTGTCCCCCATTCCTGCTGCCCAGGATAACCAGAAAGATGATCCTTGTGTCACCACAGTGGCCATGGCCATCTGAGACTATCTGAGCCAGAGTTCACCCACCCTGCCCAGGACAGAAAAGGACCTAGCTCAGTACTTCTCCTACCCAGCAGAAAAAACAGCTGTAGAGCACCCAGGGCCAGAGATCCTGAAGTTGTGCTTAATTCTGCAAGCACTGTACGCTGTTGAAGGCTGAGGAGCTCAGCTGCCATCAGGGGCCCTCCTGCAGCAGCACCAGTGGAGAGAGGAGGTCACTTGTCCCAGCAGGTCACTGGGGATGCCTGTGTCCTCTACAGCTTCTGGGGTGGGCTCTTCCCTGCTCTGCACATCTTCTGGACTTGACAGATGAATCCTCCCACAGTGACCTTTTTGCTCAGCTTCTGGTTTGTTCTGTGAGCTACAATCTCTCTCCAGCTCCTTCTTACTCAGCTGTCTCCTACATTGTCCCCACACTCAAATCAGACCCTTCCCCATGGCATTCCAGAAGCACACCCCACACTTCTCTCCCATACAGTTCTCCTTTTCTTCTTTTATTGCCAGTTCTCTGCAAAAATCTTGCTATTTTTTTTTTCCCATTCAGATTTCCTACTTACCATTCCCAGGTACTTCCATTGGAATAGACAACAGCTGAATAACTAACTGTATTGCTGGTCCAAGAGAAATATGATAGAGTACAGTTCAAAGTGGATTTGCAGTGTACATTTTTCATTACAACTTCAGAAAATTGGGCAGACTATGGAATTTGCTGAGACATCAAACCTGGGGATATAAGTAGGTGCCCCTGAGTCATGAAAACTACAGTATGTAGTGGCACAATAGACCCAAGATGTCTCAAGGTGACTGTTCAGCTGAAAATATTGGCCTGTGACCAAAGCTCAGCTATTACAATTGTTAGGAGTACTGCAAAAAAGTCTCTTCTGCCACTTAGCAGAGAAGTCTGAACACTAGTGTAAGTATTAATGAATTCCATGTGGCAGTAAAATTGTTTCAGTCTGAGGCTGTTGGAGTTCTCTTTAGTCCTTACCCAAGATACACCATCTGCCACTAACCACTACTTAAATGTTTCAGCATCATGCTTTCTGCTTTTGTGGAAAGAGGTTTTGTTGTCAGACATCCTTGAAAGCTAACTATTGTGATCTCATATGCTGCCAACAAAGAGGGAAATATATATACAAATTTATGTTACAGAGATTTCAGGTAAGTTCTAAAGCTATTGTAAATTCACAGAACTTTTACATATGCACCATAAATATTATTCACATGTAGATGTTTGTTATAGGTGTACATATATTTGTGTATACATATAAAAGGATCAACTTAATATAAAAACTAAGCCTGCTCTATTATGGTCTGAATTGATCTGAAGTCTGGACTGGTAGTAAAGATCACTTTACTTACGTATTTTTTCTTCTTTTGAATTTTTGGGAAGTTCCTCATGGTACACAAGCCTACACAGAGTTATGTGAGCACCAGAAAACTGCTCATTTATGGACCACCATTGTTTTTTGGGATGGGGGTTATGTTTCTTGCTTGGTTATTTTTCCTTAGTGACAGTGTCAAAGCCCATGAGGAGATCCTAAGTGCCATGGCAATACAAATCTCAGTGATATTTATGAATGAACTTGCACAACTAGGAATGTTTGGCTACTTCTCAAACAATTTCTGCTTCCCATAAGTTTTATGTGGGTAGGTACAAGCCAACAAAAGTGCCCCTGCTCCTTACCTTAGTAGGAGCTGTGATTGTCCTCTGCGCAAGGTGGCAGCAAAAGAAAGCTCTTCCAACTCCTCCCTCTCTCCCCTGCACACCTCCTGTTAAGGAGAGTAATTCCTCCAACTTTATTTATTGTGTTTTAAAAAACAACTGTTGCTGGTGGCCAATATATGTCTGAACAACACATGGAGTTGCTTTTACTTTGGGAACACTGTCAAACTTCACTCTCCATGTCTTTACCAATATTCCCCTGGGAAAAGCTAGAAAATTGAGTGCAAAGAACAGAAAATCATGAGACAAATCCCCCTTAAATCAGTGATTTTCCCTTTCTGAGTTTATTTTTAAAACAGGGTATTTTTCCAATGAAGACACAATGACTTTGGGAGAAAGGATCAAGTCCAAGAAAAGTAAAATAAAATAAAATAAAATAAAATAAAATAAAATAAAATAAAATAAAATGTCAAGCTCTACGCTGAATTTAGACATCATCAATGTCAAATTGTGACAAATTGTGATGGAATTACCAGTGCTACACCATGTTTCAGCATAAAAATTTGGTTTCTCAATAGGAATAAGTAGTCTGAAGAATCTGACTTCTGAAGTCCCAGTTAGCAGTTATCTAGATGAAATAAAAGTGTGGAGTCCACCCTGCTAGTTCTCCTGACCCTAATCAGCATTTGCTGTTTGCATATTTTTTGAGGGGATTTTTATTTGCTTCTTGTTTTGGGGAAAAGATTTATTTCATTGAATGGAATGTTTTACTGCAAATATTAGAGTTGATGAAGATACTTTAAGGTTCATTGAGCCTCAAAATACTCCTAACACATATTCTCCATATGGAAGAAAACCTTGGGTGAATATTTAATAACCTTCACAAATTTGACTTTGTTAAAGTCAATAGAAGTAGTAAGAATACCAGTAAGATTGTGCATATTTCGAAAAACCAGGGATTACTCACCTTGAAAGTACAATGTAGTAAATATGTTCTTTATTCTAGAGGCACGGTAAAAGAATAGCCAGTCAGCTTTGGACATCAACATTCTCTACAACCTTAAAGCTTCTTTTGATGACCATAACCTTATTCCAAAACCATTGTGTTTAATAAAAATTGCTTTCAGAACTTGAAGAATATTTTATTATGGAATACAAAAATACTATCTATGTAAAAACAATAAGTTAGTTTATTTACAACACTTTACACTATCCTGCTCTGGAGCTTCCTTTGCACTGAACTTCTTTTCATTATTTTACACACCTTTATAATTTTAATTATAATTTTGCACAAAGCATTTCCAAAAGCATGTCATCCATGTTCACTGCTCCAATGATGGGCCTGAAGAATAATTCAGCAACCACATTAGCATTAATAGATCTTAACAAGGAGAGAACAACATTCAGCTTGGCAAATCTGGCTTCATCACCTCTGTGAATGAGTCTGACATGTTCATTTAGAGCTTGCTGTGCTTCCCTCTGCAACCCTTCAATGTACTGAGTACAATGCAGTCCAGGTAGATCTGAAAATGAAAAGAAATTATTTTGTTTATATATTCTTGTTTACAAAACAATATTATTCTTACAGAACAATTCCTAACAGCTCACAGACTGTAATTATCACTCAAGGAAAGAAGGAAATTAAATTGCTACAGGACTTCTTGAATACAAAGTCAATATGCCAAATTTATTGTGCAGGTCAAATTCTTATCATATTGGTGTTTTGGATATTTAACACTCTTCTTCACAAACCTAAAATTTGTTGTTTGACAGCATTCACTTAGGTGTTAAACAAATTAGTTGATAAAACCTTTGAAGAATGTTCTCCAAAACACTTTTACAGTGGGGAAGACAACAAGAATAGCTTTTTTCAGTTTTTCACTTCTACAATAATGCACTTTTTACATTTAAGGCTTCTTTTGTCTACTGTTTCTACTCCAGTTTATGAGTGGCAAGAAGTAATGACTCCAACATGCAACAGGAAGTTTGCAAATGAACCGCAGTAAGGATACTGAAAGATGGAGGTGCAGAATTAAGGTTATATGTGATCATAGAACCATTTTGGATGGAAAATCCTCCAAGATCAGTGAGTTCAACAGTTAACCTAACACTGCCAGGTCCACCACTAAATCTTGTTCCTGAGGAACATATCTAGAGATTTTTGAACACTTTCAGGGATAGTGATTCAACCACTTCCCTGGACAGCTTGTTCCAGTGCTTGATGAACCTTTCAGAGAAGAAAATTTTCCTTCCAGAACAATGCCTCTATTTTTTGCATTAGACCAGCTTCCAAATTTGACTTGTGTTACATGAGCTCCACCTTAAGTATTGTAACTTTTTCTCTCTTATCTGTATAGAGAGCAAAGCTACACAAGCAGGATGATAAATGCAAAGTACCACTACAGGAACCTAAACCATCAGTAACTGACACTTTGGCAGTGGGAGCGCCAGCAGAGCCCTGTCCCACTTTCACACGGTACTGCACACTTGGGAAGTACCAGATCCAGCCTGCCAGCTACTTTTTCAGGTCAGTCACCGACGTGATAATAAGTCACTCGGTAGAGTTGCATCTATGGGAGTCTCCACAAAGAAAGATGGAAAAAAAACAAAACAAAACAAAACAAAACAAAACAAAACAAAACAAAAACACCAAAGAAACCCCGATCATAAATGCTACACCAAAAGCCACAACAGCACTTTGTTGCAGGAAGCCTCGAGCCTCCCCTTGCTCTCCGGGGCGCGCAGACCCCCGGGCACGGCCCGGGCAGAGCCGCTGCCCTCGGGCCGGGGAGTGGAGCTGCCGCCGCTCCCGCTGAGGGAAACAAGCAAGGAGCCGCTGCTGTCTCCCAGCCTTCTCCACCCGACTGCCAGGCGCCGGGAATTCGCGGAAAGCATCTGTGGAAAGCGCCAGCCCCCAGGACCCCAGACCGAGCTGCAGCCGGACCCTCGCTGCCTGCGGCCGGGATCTTGAGGAAGGGGGAGAAGGTGAAACCTTGCTCCCCGTCCCTCTCCTCCAACACCTTTTTCACCCCGAGGAAAGCCCCGGGTCTGCCCCGTTTCCCTGGGGACACAGGCGGGCTCTCCCCGCCCTCCTCGCTGCCCTGTGGCAGAGACGCCGCTGCCCCGCCCGGCCACTCACCCGGGTTGAAGAGCACCGTCCCCTTGAGGTAGGCGTACTCTTTGGTGCTGATGTCCAGGCTCCAGCACTTGGCCAGGAAGCCCTTGATAGCCTGGATGTCGGCGGGCGAGGGCAGGGGCGGGCCGTGCTGCGGCCGGCCCGGTGCCGGTGCCGGCGGCCGCGGCTCGCCCTGCTGCCGGGCGGTGAGGATGCGCTGCAGCATGCTGGGCTCCGCGCTCTCCACCGTCTCCAGGTGCACCCGCTCCTGCGCCAGCCCCAGCAGCAGCAAGGGCGCCCAGCAGCTGCGGACCAGCAGCAGCTGCTCCTCCAGCGGCAGCTCCTGGAAGCAGGGCACGTTCTGCACGAAGCGCAGCGTCTTCACCAGCACGGCCGAGGCCGCCTTGCAAGCCACCTGCGGGCTCCGCAGGGCCACCCGCCGCCGCGACCCGCACGGGCAGCCCCGGGGCGCCGGCCCGGCGGGCGGCAGCGCCCGCTCCTCGCTGCGGAGGATGCTGTAGAGGATGCTGCCGTGCCGCCGGCCCTCCGCGCAGCAGCGGCACGCCATGGCACCCGCGGCTCCGGCGCCCGGGGCCGGGCTGAGCCGCCGGGGAGGCTCGGCGGGGCGGTCCCTGCCTCCTGGGCGCCGCTCGCCCTCTGCCCGGCTCCCTAACTTATTTATAGCCGGCGGGGGCGTGTGCGTGTCTGTGTGTGTGTGCAGCCGCAGGCGCTCTACCGGCCGTTCAGAGGGGCAGACACTCATTTTCCACTGGCTGGAAAAGAGGCGGGGGGGAGGAGGAGTGATGAAAAAAAACAACGAAACCCTCCTCCTCCTCCTTCCCTGAGGCGGAGATACCCGGGGGGAGCCGGCGAGCCGGGCGCCTCTGCCCGCAGGCTGCGGCGCGGCGAGCGGCAAATTGCAGCTCCCGCGGGATGTCCCTTCCCGGCCCCTCTTTCCGAGTCCATCCCGGCTGGTGTTACGCCGGGATGCTCCGAACAGGGCAGGGCAAGGCAGGACACGGCAGCTCCCGCCGCTCTCTCGTTTTGCCGCCGTAGGGAGCAGCTCCTGCCCCCGCGGGACCCCACCGAGAAATGACCGCCGGCCCCGCTGCCTTCACAAGCACCCGAAAGGTCTTCGGGAGGAGAGAGAAAGGGTGTGCTGGGGAAGAAAGGAGCGCTGAATTGGTCTAAATAATTAAATTCCCGCTGGAAGAGAAAAAGGTGGCGCCACTAATGACATCGAGGACTTTCGTGTATGCCTGCCCTAAGGAGTGATGCCTGCCTGTTGTGCCAAATGAACTCCACAGTGCTGCCATGCGGGGACAGAGAATCGGACATGTCCCTGCCCAAATGGGTGCTCTGTGAGGGTTGCAAACCAGGCTCTGTCAGGGTGCCCTGAGGCTGGTGCAGCTGCATAACCCACTGGGATCCCTCATGGAACCATTCCCATTAATAATTCCCTTGCTCTGCCTTTCAACACATGGCCCATCTTTCTGATGCCGTTTTCATTATCCCTTCAAGCTCTGCTTCTCCATGAACTTCTCCTCTTAGATACTTACTTGTTTTGTGACCCATGTCCTCCAAGTGTCATATGAACTCCAAAGGAAGCCTCCCATCCCTCCAGGCCTTGGTGTTTACACAGGAAGGACAGGGGAATCATGATTGTCCAAATGTGGACTCTGGAATGAAAAATAACCACCTTCTCAACTGGACTAAATAAAAGTGGATGCAGCAGAGTGGAGTAAATAAACATTACAGAAAATAAAGTTACTTTTATCTGCTGCTTATCACCTAAACCAGACATGTTTTCTGGTTCATGTGATCTGGAAGAACCTTGACAGAGAGTTAGAGAAAGTAGCCAGTTTTAAGCAAAATTCTGTACCTTCTGCTACCAGTATCTCTACCAAGAGAAGACTAAATCACCCTTGGAAAGCTGCATTTTCTTTCCATAAAGGCGTTTCTCTTTGCTGTTGCGTTTTGGGTTTTGGGGTTTTTTGTTTGTTTTCATTTTGGAGGTTTTTTTGTTTGCTTGTTTGGGTTTTTTTTTAAGCAAATACTATTGAGTGTTTTGGATTTTGTAGAAACACAACAATTTTGAGCTAGATCTTGGCAATTTCCTTTCCCTGTGAAGTCAGTCCTACCCTATCAGCTTACACCGATATAGAGTCATATAGTCTTTTTCCTCTAAGTCTTTCTTCACAATTGGACTCAGAGGGGATGTTCTTTACAAATGGCTTTTACAAATGACTTGTGCTTTTTATAAGGCACATTTTTATAAAGTTGTATAAAACACTGATGGGCTATCTGTCTCAAGTAAACCTTGTTTTCCAAATGCAGGCTGTCCAAAACCTAGATTATCATGCTTTTGGTTTTACCTATGAAATGTGTTTTCTTTTCCACAGACTCAAACATGATAAAGCCCTTTATTGGCTTTGCAATAGAAGAGAACTGCTACAGTGCACCAATTAAGTGATGTCTAAAATTTGCTGACAGGTCAGTGGTTTCACCAAACATCCTTTAAGAAAGAAAATATGCTAGATTTACAAAAGAAATGTACTAACACTAAATATTACCAAAGTTTTCATTTGGTAATCATCCCTGGTAATGACAAAACAGTCATTTATTTGTCTAGAATATTTCTTTGCCATTCTAGGTTGTTTCTTGTTATAGTCATCCATGTTTCCACAGCATTAGGATTTTAGATGGTTTCTTTCAGCCTTTTTAGTCTTTTTCCTTTTAGGGTATTTTTTTCTTTGGGAGGGGTTGTTCACAAACTTCAGAGGTAAGTCTTGCCAATTTTTAGGAAAAGAGCATCTCTAAGTTTTCAGTTGTGTTCAGTAGCATTTCTCCTATGAGGTACAGATTAGTAGTCTGACTGTGGAATCTAGCTGGGTTTTTTATGAGTTTGTAACTTGAAAAATATCTATGGGAAAGCACAGTGCAGCTGAGACTGGAATCACTGCCTTTGCAGCTTTGACCTTGGACTGCAACTGTGGGAATGTTCTGCTTATTATGGGAGGATGCTGCTTACACAGGGCTATAGACAAAGGAAATACTTGTAAATATAACTTTTATACCAAGTCTACAAGAGATTTGTTTTCCCTATGCAGAAATATTGGTTGCAGGTGTTTAATTATTCAAGGTATTTCTTTTTCAAACAAGTCTCAAATGTAGATGCAATTCATCTGTTATATAATGATTTTGCTGACTCTTTGTCTTCTAAACAAACTTATACAAAAAGACTTTGTCTTTGATAATTATAACAAAATGTGTACCCCACACTGGAACCGAAACTTGGTTTACTATTCAGTGCCAGAAATCACATTGCTGTGGTTACAAGTGTACTTCCTTCTCTGACAAGTGCATTTAAACACTCATTTCCCTCATCCTAATTCTTAATGTATTCTGATATACATGGAAGTCTATTTTATTCAGGGTAGATGATCTATTTCTGAGCTCAAACATTAAGAATGTTTTAATTTATTTATCCTATAAATATTTATTTGTGTTTTTCATGTTGATATTTAGCATTTTGTACAGTCTTTATTTAAAAATCTGGGTTCTGCCTTTCCATAGCATTCAAGCTAAATTAACAACAAATCATTCTATTCACAACCAAAACCAAAATCCCTAACAGAAACTAAACTGTTTGATGGAAAATGCATGAAAATCCTTTTAGAATAAAGGGGAAGTGCCTGGTTTCTGCTGGAAGATCTGATGTTACATGGGTATTACCAAGCTCCTTGTGGTACAATCATGAATAAGTTTACAAGCTTCCAGACCAAGGATTACTTGTTTGTATTGTTTGTGGCTTTTTTGGATTGATTTTGTTTTGGGTTGGTTTTGTGTATATGTGTGTGTGGCTACAGGGTTTTTTTAACTCAGACAAAGCCTTGGATATGGAGGTGATACAGTGCAGTCTTGGCAGCCTGGCTCTCTGATGTTGCTGCTCAGTGTCTCTGTATCACTCATCTGGTAGCACATTTGGTTCTTGGCCAGAGGGCAAGCCTTCAGTTTCAGAACAAGACCAAACAAGCATTTGTTTTTATGCCATCAGTGCTTCAGTGCACCATAAGCTTGAGAAAAACTTTTTTCCAGTGTAGAATTTGATCCTGATGTCCTATGAATGAACACTATTCCTTTTAATGTAAGTGGTGAAAAATCAAATTTTATTTTAAGATCAGATGTAAAGTAGATTCAATTTGGTGATTAGCATAAGAGAAATTAACTTTTTGCTACAGAAAAACAAAGTTTAATGTGGAATATTGTTATAAGGATATGATAAACAATATGTCTTGTGTAAAATAAATGCTTTATTAAAACAAGGTTTTGGAACTCAATTATGTTGCTGCTTTTCATTCTTTTCTCATTGTGACTATCCATTAGTTAGACTAATCACCATTCACATGTCCCCTGTTTTTTTCTGGGGTGTTTTTTTGAAATGTGGGGATTAAGGGAAAAGTAGTTCTACCTATGTGCTGTACCACACACACTACTGTCCCCTTCCTGGAGGGACAATGGATTCCTTAGGAGGAGGATACTGGGAGCCTGAGCCAAAGATGGTTGAGGTGGACCCATGTGAGAGATGATGACCAGAATTTCCAGAGCTTTTTCAGTTTTCCTAAGGCTGTGATTTGACAGTGTTTCTGTATCCCACCACCAGCTCACCTCACGATAGGTGCTTGATCTGGAGCAGGGTGAGAATATGGTGACATTTTTATAGAATTAGCCAGAGTATGTAAAAAGGAGTGTAGCTCAGGTTTAGACCTTCCTGCCGGCTGCTTGAAAGTAGATGATGTCTGATCTGGTAAAAACTGTAATGGTACAAAATCAGCCTTTTAACATACCTTAAAGAAACCAGAACATGCAAAAGGGACTATGTTGTTGTTGTTATTTTCAGATCAGTTCTTTGTAAAATGTGGCCATGACAATTTGAATTCAGAAATAACAATTATGAACTTCAGTTTACTCTTATTGGACCATGCACTCCACTGTCATATTTCCACTGTCAGATAGCAAATTTAAGGAGGCCTCATATACTCTAGGCCTGGCCTTTTTTCCTTGTACCCACATGCTAACTTACCTTAGCTAATGCTAGGTTATTCTGTTAGTGTTAACTAGGTTTTGGGGTAGGCAAAATAAGGGAAAGAAGCAAACTTGTAAACTTTTTACAGTGAAAGACACTCAGTTGTTTCCCATAAAAAAAAAAGATTAATTGATCTTTGGGGTCTGTAAAAAGCTGCGGACCCCAGCAATCCAAAACTGTACATTTAGATATGCAATTGGGGTTTCAGTGTTTAGATATATGTCATAACTTATATTTTGGCCCAAAGTGGGTTCATGGGGCTCCCAAAATCTGTCAGTGTGCAATGCTTCAGGCTGCAGTCCCCTAATCCCTCCTGAGCCAATCTGGCAGCTCACTGGAGCTGAGAGGTGACTCCCACACAAGTGTTGCTGCTGCCTTCTTTGCCCCAGCTCTGGCACACATCTGATCCTTTGCTGAACCAATCTTTCTAACCTGGTAGCATTTTTGTGACAGCAGTTGCAAGTAGCAGAGAAATGAGGTACCTTGAAATGTACTTTCCATGCTTTGTTTTACCCAGTGCTACTTGTGAAGTTTCTGCCCCACCTGAGAAGTCGGAACGTTCATGATACAGCAGACTTGTGCCTGGTGAGTCAAGGAAAAAGCCATGTAGTATTCTGATAATTGAACTGAACTGAATGCAGCTAGAGATAAAGCTAAAAATGGTGCCACAGCAGGTAGAAAGGTGTGGTCTAACCACCCTTCCAGGAGAATGGGGAAAGAGCAGGAAATACTGCTGCAAACCAGTATTCTACTCAGCCACCGAGTGGAACTGCTCCCTCAGGTAGGTAAATCCTTAAATCTTGAGAGCAGAAGAAAATAGGTGTTATGAGAGAGGGCTTGTAGCAAGCTTTGGTTTTAAATTATAATTTTAAATATCATG